AGGTGTGACTCTTTTGATGATTGCATCTAGCTCTCTCAGATAAAATTGGAATCAGAAACTTCAGTTTTTGTAATTTAATTCAACCTTAAAATACATTATGTGGCTCTCAATGAAATATATTTCCAAATATTTGGTTTCTTGGCACTCTGAGTCAAAAAGGTTCTCGATCTCTGGTCTGACACTTCGCATAGAGATTGTAACAACGATGGCAGACTCATAGATACTATACTTATAGGACGCAGGTAGTACGAAAATTTACGGTTCCAATATTTGTCGTAGACGCTTCCACCCAGTCGGCGAGTAAGGATGACACAGTTCAACGGTTCTGCTTCTGACCGCCCTTAGGAAGGACATTCGTTGGAGGCGCAAGTAAAGAGAAAATTTACCTGAATGCAGATCAAACACCACTGAGGAAATATTTCCAAGTGTTAGTTTTTAGTCGTACGAACCATGCCTCGTACGCATATAGAAGGATGGGATTGATGATGAAGAGAAGCAGAACTTGGTACTAAAGTGGATATTTAGATGGGATCCCAAAGCATAAGGCAACGGCAACCAGAGGAATGCATTAAATGGCGTTCAACGCTCAGCAAAACTATTTGTAGTCGGCTTGCAGGACCTAAAGCCCTCGCCTCTTGCTAGCACTGCTACTACTGGTTCGACGTTGCTTCTTTGCAGTATGTAAGTTGGTTAATTTTTCAGCCAAGTGTCCGGTCAGTATTTAGGTAAGACGCAATAGTGCCGCCCAGGTTTAGAGCTCCGCTTCCATGATAGTTCGCTCATTGCGCCCGGCGAAGGCCACTGCTGTTCTGAGAAATTAATGATAACGCGCGCACAGTAGGAGCAATTTTACTTCATCTTTTCAGACTCACCGTACCCTAGTGGGCAACAGCCAAGGAATGTGAGCTTTAGCATAGCAGGTGACCAAGCATTTGCTCTATACCTATCACACGCCATACCTGTTTTGGCACTGCGAATGGCATAAATGAGAATTGCTTACCTGCGCGAATTGCGACACTAAGGATCCGTCATTATCTGACCTTCAGTCCAAAAGTTTCCCGCTAATTTGCAACCTTCCAGGTCAAGAGTGGGTGGTGATCGTGTTATCGGCAGCCAAAGACACAAGCAGTATGTGTGATCGGTAATTTGATTATTCTCTTTAAAGGAAAAATTTCTATAAAGCAGGCATCTGCACTATGGCCCAAAAGCGACGAGAAACTTAGAAGGTTGTTGGTTCGTGTAGCTACTGGTAAAAAAAGGTGACGGGGAACAAACTAATGCTAGTGATGCGCCATTGTGAATGATGTTAGACGATAAGTGGAGGTTAGAACAAGCAAGACTCACTTGATTTCGTCAAAAGTACTCTGACGGATGGGAGTGAAAGCAATTAACTTTTCGAATATGCCTTCATGTGGTCCGTAGCGGGCGAGGTAGTAGATACTATCACGAAATTCGTCCCAGATCTCTTGGATGCATGAGATTGGAAAAAAGCTGAAAAGACAAACAAAGAAACATTGAAGGCGACAGGTCTTTAAATGCCACCGTGCTGGGATAGCAGCGATAAAGTGGATGAGGAGACAGAAAACCTTGTAAATAAAAGACCTTTACAAAAAACAGTACTGGAGCAGGGATATTTACGTGAGGTACATAGTCGAATTGGCAGGGCCAATAGTGTAATTAACTTTAACAAAGACTTCTCATCGGCTAGAACTATGGTTTCGAAATTTAAAACTGTCAAAATAAGTGAATGTGAAAAACACAGAAAAATGGAGACGAAATATCAACACGTACCGCTTGTAGATTCGAAGCACCTTGCGGATTCGGTGGTATTCTCTAAAAGCGAAAAGGTTCCGTTGACAAATTTTCATAATGGTATGGAATTAACACAATACTGTGCAATAATAGAGCCATTTCCAAGAACGTTTTTTGCTAAAACACTCGAATCTTCACAAATAAGCGGCCTGGAAGTGCCCGTCAATTTAGGGCGATAGAAAGAAAGAAATTTTAAAAATATTCTCGTGCCCTTATACTAACTGGCTGTGGATAGACCGGATGACATGAAATCCGTGGATTTAGGAGTGCGATACGCACCTCAGACTATCAAAATTAAAGTCAACTCCAGGTTGAAGTCAGACAATAACATACTACTTAATACCTAAAAAGTATTGCTATTTGAATGTACAATGAGCAAAAACCATGCAAAGCTATTTGAATAGAATCATAAAACACATCATCATTAGGATTTACACATAGTGACCGTTTAATTGTCGTCACCGATGAAGT